GGGTGGTTCCGGCGCCGGCGAAGCCTCCGCCGAAGAAGCAGAAGGTCGCGAAGGAGAAGAAGAAGGCTGATGACGTGGCACCTCCGGCCGCCGGCGACGGATCTTCGTGGGGCATCGTCATCGAAGCTTGGTGAGGGTTCTGCCTGTTTTTGTCAACTAAAGCTAGGGTTTTTGTCGACCTTTTCTCAGATAAAACTGGATCCGGAGATAAAAATCACATTTTTATGTTTATTTTTGGCAAAGGTTGGTTTTTTGGGGAGTAGAAGCTCGAAATTTCGAGGAAATAGAACATAGAAATGTCATAGTTTCATTGTCCTGTTGTTATTCTCCATAAGAAATGACGTTGACCACGGATCAGAGTCCGAAATTGAGAAATCCCCATTGATTGAGATCACTGGTGAAAATAAGTTTATAAAGAAGTCAGCCCTTTTGAGATCTTGCAACATTTTGATGGAGTGCTCAAAATTTATTCTCATGGTGCTCTGTGACTAGTTTAGATTAAGTCTCGGGTGCCGGATTCTTATTATAAAGCAAACCATGTATTTTGCTGTGAATGTTATCTCTCTCTGTACATATTATCTGAGAGCTTTGTTGAGGTTGGTATATATTATGTAGCCATGTCACGAGATGGTTGACATCATCCGTGGATAAATATGAATCGTATAGTTACGTGCATAGTATGTCCTTTATTTGGGTTTCTTTATATAGTATGAAACTATAAAGATCAATGCCGAAGACTGAGATCACTACATACTGCTTGAACATGAATTATAACTTCCTCGCTGAGCATGAAATAGGAGGATATGTGTTTTCGAAGGAACATAAGTAATCAAGTTAAACAGCTGTGTATATTGAACTAGGCTCAGTAAGCTCAATAAATTAGTTAACTAGTGGCCAAGTTGACAAATGATACGTTTTACACAAAACATGGAATTCCCTATGAATTTTATCCTTCCTCGTGATGTCTTATGTTTCCAGCTCTTTAGCGTGAAGCTTACGTTGTTATAATTACTTTCTAGTCTTACACTTCAATATTTTCTTACATTCCGTTGCACCTATAGTTTCTTGCTAGTGTTTTAGTCAGTTGCATTTATTTAATTAGGCTTCACAGCACAGTTGTGGTTACTGATAAATTGGGTAGAATCCACACCTAGATCGAGCATTTTCTTTTTGCTTATGTGTTTAGTATCGTCAAGGTGGACAGCGTTAAGGAATATATTATGAGATATTATTGAAAATATTGGGAGATATGATTGAATATGATTTTATCCCATACCTATTTTGTAATATAGGGTTAGATGAATAACAACTTGGTCTTTTTATATTTCTCCACATAGTATCAGAGTCATCCTCTTGATCCTAGAGAGCTCTTTCTTCATCGTCTACATCGAGCCGCCGAGGGGG